TACATCTTTGCCAATGAAGCTCCGCTCCGGTATCAACTTTCTCACCGGCCACCACTCCCTAAACTTGTGGTACGCCACCTGGCTCACGAACCTATCCTCCCAAACATCAGGCTTTCTAGTTCGGGCAATGCCTCCAACCAAAGGCTCACCACCTTCAGCTATCTCCTCATCCCCTTGTACTTCCTCCTCACCTCCGTCTGCACCCTCCCTGGATAATGAAGCTGTGGGAGAGGTGGAGTAATCACCACTGTCGGCCGCTGAGGCCTCAAACGACTTAGTGGGAACATGCTCTGGTGCTTGGGCAGTGGTTGGTGGTGGAGGAGTATCTCTTAGTCTAAACATCTCCGGCCAGTCTTCAACATACTCTGGCACGGAGTTTGAAGAAATGTCCCGTGACGGTTGGTAGTCACTCCCCGAGGAATGGGAAGCAGCTCTGTCTGCAGCTTTAATTAACTTTCTGGTCTTTTTTATGTTCTCCCGAGCTTGGGGAGTGAGATTTACCATCTTCTTCTTCCCTCATCGGGAGGGTTCTCCTTTTCCCGGTTGTATTGAGCCTTTTCTCACCATTGTCTGCAAACATCATTCAATGTATTTGTTAGTATCAATTCAGGAGTTCAAGTTATTGCAGCAGAACAAATTGTAAAAGAAACACAGTGTTGCAGAAAGTTGCAGAAGTTGCCTAGTGCAGACCGCACAAAATGGTAGTGCGGCCGCACTGAGGCCACCGCGGACCGCACAAGAATGACCGCGGTCTGCACAGGTATAGAGTCCCAAAATCAAGCTCTCTGAATCTCACCTGTGCGGTCCACACAAAACCAAACGCGGCCGCACTGGGCCAGTGCGGACTGCACAAAATGTAGTGCGGCCGCACTGGGCAAACGTCACTTGGACAAGATGGCCACCGCGGACCGCACAGAAATGACCGCGGTCCGCGCTACGTGCCCAGACATAGCACTGAGTTAGGGTTCGAGATTTAGCTAATTAGTTCAAATTTTCACCTAGTTAGGGTCCCTACTCAATTACCCAACTCATTATACTCGTTAAGCACACAAAAATTAACATTTAAACTAACCTAATTCATCAATCAGCAACATACAGGAAGAAAAAGAAGCTACAGACTAATAGAAATGACAATAAAATGAAATTTCAAATTTAAAGACTTAAGAGTTGGGTGAAATGTTACCAGAATGTAAGATGAAGTGTAATTGATCAATGCTAAGCAAGAAAATACAGATAAGAGAGGAGATGAACAGTATTTTAGGGTCTCTGAGAGTTAAGGGTTCGTAAAGGGTAAAAAGAGGCCCTTGGGGTCTATTTATAGAGAAACCCTTGGGGCCCATTCTCACTTACCAGTGCGACCGCACAAAATGGACCGCGGTCTGCACTGGTCACTTTTGTTCGATTCCAACTCAGTAACCCATCGCACTCCGCACAAAATTGACTGCGACTGCGGTGGTCCACGCGGACCGCACCAATTCAGCCGCGGCCGCGGTGGCAAACTTCAGAGAGTAATTTTGTCACCCTTTTTGCTATCGCGGACCGCACAAAGTGTAGTGCATCCGCACTGGAAACTTCAGAGACTGTGCAATTTGTTCAATTATGTCCTGCACTGCATCAACTCAATCCTACCACATCTCATAACCAGTTAGCCCAAAAATCAATCCTATACTACAAAGAAAATCAAAGCAAACAAAAAGAAAAACACATGGGTTGCCTCCCAAGAAGCGCCTAATTTAACGTCGCGACACGATGCAGGTTACCATCACATCATTTGAAATGAACAACAACCACCACATGGCTATCATCAAACTTCCCAAGATAATGCTTGACACGGTGCCCATTCACTCTAAAGACTTCACCACTTTTGTTCTTCAAATCAAGAGCACCAAAGGGGGTCACACACACAACTTCAAACGGTCCACTCCATTTTGATTTAAGCTTTTCCGAAAACAGACGTAACCGGGAATTGAACAAGAGAACCAAATCACCAACTTTGAACTCCTTTCCACGAGCATATTTATCATGAAGGTACTTCATCTTGTCCTTACACAAGGACGAACTAGAGTAGGCATGGAACCGGAATTCATCAAGTTCATTGAGTTGTTCAACCCGAAGATTAGCAGCTACATCCCAATCAAGATTCAGCTTCTTCAAGGCCCACATGGCCTTATGCTCCAACTCCACTGGTAGATGACATGCTTTCCCAAAAACCAACCGGTACGGCAACATACCAATCGTGGTCTTGTAAGCGGTCCGGTAAGCCCATAGAGCATCATCTAACTTTTTAGACCAATCGGTCCTATTGGCATTGATAGTTTTGGACAAAATGCTCTTGATCTCCCTGTTAGACACTTCCACCTGACCACTTGCTTGAGGATGATAAGGTGTAGAGACTTTGTGGTTGACACCATATTTGGAAAGCAAAGCATCAAAAGCTCTATTATAAAAATGCGATTCTCCATCACTAATAATTGCCCGAGGTGTACCAAACCTTCTGAAAATACTCTTCTTCAGAAATGCCACTATACTCATAGCTTCATTGTTGGGCAAGGCCACGTCCTCGACCCATTTTGATACATAATCAACCGCCACAAGAATGTAGGTGTTTCCACACGAGCTTACAAAAGGGCCCATAAAATCGATACCCCATACATCAAAGACATCAACTTCAAGAATGGTGTTTAGAGGCATCTCATCTTTCTTGAAAAACCCTGCCCGCTCGTTGACATTGATCACATCTTTTAACTAGATCACTTGCATCTTTGAACAAGGTTGGCCAATAAAAACCACAACTCAGAACTTTCGAAACCGTCCTCGCCCCTCCATGATGGCCACCATAAGGGGAGGAATGACAAGCCTCTAGAATGATAAATTGCTCCTCCTCAGGTACACACCTCCGGATGACTCCGTCGGTGCAAATCTTGAACAAGTATGGCTCGTCCCAATAGAATTCCAAACTATCCCGTTTGAGCTTCTTCCTTTGGTTAGAAGAGAGCTCACACGGGATGATGCCAGTCACAAGGAAATTAGCGATGTCCGCAAACCATGGCATATCACACATCGACACAGAAAGTAGTTGCTCATCGGGGAATGTATCATTGATCTCTAGGCAATCACACGGCCTTCCTTCCTCCTCCAAGCGGGACAAATGATCCGCCACTTGGTTCTCACTACCTTTGTGGTCCACTATTTCCAAATCAAACTCTTGAAGTAGTAACACCCATCTTATCAACCTTGCCTTGGAGTCTTTCTTTGTTATCAAATACCTCAGGGCGGCATGGTCGGTGTGCACTATGACTTTGGCCCCCATAAGATATGGCCGAAATTTTTCCATGGCGAACACAATAGCCAACAATTCCTTCTCCGTCACCGTGTAGTTCCTTTGAGCTTCATTCATAGTCTTGCATAGTACTCTGGATGAAACATTTTGTTCACTCTTTGACCTAACACTGCCCCAACCGCAACGTCACTTGCATCGCACATGAGCTCGAAAGGCAAGCTCCAATTGGGTGCGGTAATGATCGGGGTGGTGGTCAACGTGTGCTTAAGAAGTTCAAAGGCCTCCATGCATTTCTCATCGAACACAAACTTTGTATCTTTTTCTAGCAACTTGCAAAGGGGATTCACAATATTCGAAAAGTCCTTGATGAACCGCCGGTAGAACCCCGCATGCCCAAGGAAACTTCTCACCCCTTTGACAGAAGTGGGGGGAGGAAGCCTTGAAATCACCTCAATCTTGGCTTTATCTACTTCAATCCCATGCTTTGAAATTTTATGGCCCAACACTATGCCCTCTTCAACCATGAAGTGGCATTTTTCCCAATTTAGCATAAGGTTGGTGTCTTCACACCGGGCCAAAACTCTATCCAAATTTCCCAAACACTCTTCAAATGAATCACCAACCACACTAAAATCATCCATAATGACCTCCAAAATATCTTCCACCATATCGGTGAAAATAACCATCATGCATCGTTGGAAAGTCGCTGGAGCATTGCACAACCCGAACGGCATTCGATAGAAAGCAAATGTGCCATATGGGCAAGTGAATGTGGTCTTCTCTTGGTCCTCCGGAGCGATTAAGATTTGATTATATCCCGAATATCCATCCAAAAAGCAATAAAAGGCACGCCCCGCAAGGCGATCAAGCATTTGGTCAAGGAATGGCAACGGGAAATGATCCTTGCGGGTCACCTTGTTGAGCTTCCGATAATCCATGCAAACCCTCCACCCGGTAATTGTCCGGGTGGGAATAAGTTCATTGTTGTCATTTGTCACCACAGTCATTCCACCCTTCTTCGGCACACATTGCACCGGAGAAGTCCATGAGTTATCGGAGATTGGATACACCAAGCCTGCATCTAGCCACTTGATCACTTCTTTTTTTACCACTTCTTGCATTGCCTCATTGAGCCTCCTTTGATTTTCCAAGGAGGGTTTTGCATCATCCTCCAAAATAATCTTGTGCATGCAAAATGCGGGTCTTATTCCCCGAATATCGGCCAAAGTCCATCCAATTNACCTCTGTCAAGGGAACCAAGTTCCCTGATAAATATTGTAGATAAGAGTTGCATCCTTTTGCCAAAGTGCAATACTATCAGCTTCTTGTTTGCCCTGTAATTGCCATGCGTGTCAACCTGTAACGGTATAGAAATGAGTTATACCTCGCCAGAAAATACTTTTAGCTATTTTACCTGTTCATTTCTTTTACAGCCAATCATTGAGGGACCAAGTCCTCAACTTGACTTGATCAACCCCAGTCCCAGAGGATTCTTTTCAAATGCTCTCTACTTAGTGCTTTGGTGAAGATATCTGCAATTTGATCTTCTTACTGCAAAACTTCATGCAGATAAGCCCTTTTTCAACATTATCTCTGAGGAAGTGGTGTCGTGCATCAGTGTGCTTTGTTCTCTTATGCTGAACATGATTCTTGGCCATGTTGAGAGCATTGGTGTTGTCACACACTGATGGCACACAATCAGATAAGATACTAAAATCTTCTAGCTGCTGTTTGATCCACAGCAGTTGTGCACAACAAGAGGCAGTTGCCACATATTAGCTTCTGCAGTTGAAAGAGCCATTGAGTTTTGTTTTCTTGTACCCCATGAGATTAGACATGATCCCAGAAAGTGTGACATGATAGAAGTCCTTTTCCTATCCACCAGATAACCAGCATAATCAGCGTCAGCATACCCGATCAGGTCGAAATTGTCTCCAGAGGGATAGTAGAGAACCAGGTCCTGCGTCTCTTTGAGATACCTCAAGATTCTTTTGGCTGCCTTCAGATGAGACCCCTTTGGATTGGATTGAAACCTGGCACACAATCCCACACTGAAGACGATATCTGGTCTACTTGCCATGAGATATAAGAGTTATCCAATGATACCTCTGTACATGGTCTCATTCACAGAAGAACCATGTTCATCCATGTCCAGACGAGTGGCTGTGGCAATAGGGGTATCAATGACCTTTGAACTTACCATCTCAAATCTCTTTAGAAGCTATTTGATGTACTTTTGCTGACTTATCATTGTGCCCCTTTGAGTTTGCTTAACTTGCAGACCTAAGAAGAAATTTAATTCCCCCATTATGCTCATCTCAAACTCGGTTCCCATGATTTTTGCAAATTCTTCACACAAAGATTCATTTGTTGCACCAAAAATAAGGTCGTCAACATAGACATGCACAATGAGCAGGTTCCTCCCCCGTTTCTTCAGAAATAAGGTGTTATCAATTTTTCCTCTTGTAAAGCCATTTTTAGGAGAAACTTGGACAACCTTTCATACCATGCGCGAGGAGCCTACTGCAGCCCATACAAAGCCTTGCCAAGTTTAAAAACATAATCAGGATGCTCATGACATTCGAAGACAGGAGGTTGTTTGACGAAAACTTCATCTTTTAGAAAACCATTCAGAAATGCACTTTTGACATCTATTTGGAATAGCTTGATTTCCATATGAGATGCAAAGGCAATAAGGATTCTTATGGCCTCCATTCGAGCAACTAGAGCAAAGGATTATCATAGTCAATCCATTCTTCCTAATTGTATCCTTGAACTACTAGCCTTGCCTTGTTCCTTGTCGTGTTTCCAAACTCATCCAGTTCGTTTCGAAATACCCACCTGGTTCCTATAACAATTCTGTCAGTAGGTCAAGGAACCAGGTTCCATACACTATTCCTCTATAATTGATGGAATTCATCTTGCATGGCAGTGATCCAGCCAGCATCTTTCAGTGCTTCCTTGATATTTCTTTGCTCAATCTTGACTTTGATATAGTTTGAATCCTAAGTCAAGAGGAGTGATCACATTCTGAAGAGGGTGTGAGCACTTATTCTTCTAGTTGGACACCCTAATCTCATTATGAGAGGATCCAGGTTCTTCTGGATATGATTCAGGAGCCCTGCTTCTCACCTCATCATTTGGGGTTCCTTGCACAACATCCCCAACTATGCTCTCTACTTAAGTTATTGTGATTGAGGGACCGGGTTCCTTTACATCAGCTGAAGATTCAGATGAGCTATTGTTATTTGATTCCTTGACCTGACTCATCATGTCGGCCTTTCCATTTTCCATATTAATGACTTCACTAGGGACATTAGATAGCTCTCCATATTTATCAACCTTATCATGTGCAGCTCTTCCAATGAGGTGGTGTGATTCGTCAAAGATCACAAGTGTTCTTTCCTCAACACATTGAGTTCTTTAGTTGTACACCTTGTAAGTTTTGTTTTGTGTTGAATATCCAAGAAATATTCCTTCATCACTTTTGGCATCAAATTTTTCTAGAGCTTCTTTACCATTGTTGACGACAAAACATTTGCAACTGAATGTCCTTAAGTGTGTTATCTTAGGCTATCTCCCGTTCAGCAGTTCATACGGGGTTTTGTTCAGGAGGGAACTGATCATGCTCCTGTTCACCAAGTAGCATGAAGTATTGACTGCCTCTTCCCATAAAGCTTTTGCAATACCACAATCAATCAGCATTGTCCTAGCCATGTCTTCACGATCCTATTTTTTCTTTCCATAACACCGTTTTGTTGAGGTGTTCTTGGAGCTGAAAAATTATGACTTATACCATTTTCAGCACAGAACTCGTCGAAATTTGCATTGTCGAATTTGTGCCATGATCAGATATTTTACTCATAATATTATGGCTTATCTTCACTTGGATCTTCTTCCAAAAAGCAGCAAACACTGGAAAAAGTCTCATCTTTAGTTCTGAAGAACAAGGTCCATGTGAATCTGGAGTAGTCATCCACTATGACGAAGATGTACTTCCTCCTCTACTTGGCACTCTCATAGGTCCACATAGATCCATATAAAGGAGATCAAGTGGCCTTGAGGTGCTTACTTCCTTTTTGGGTTTGGAGGAGGACCCGATCTGCCTTCCTTTTACACATGCATCACACACCTTGAGATCTTTGAAACATGACTTAGGTAGTCCATGAACTAGGTCCGTCTTGACCAATCTGTTCAACAATGTAAAACTTCCATGGCCCAACCTTCTGTGCCACAGTTCAACATCATCATCCACAACACTCACACATGTAAGATCCCCATTATGTAGGGACTCAAAATCAGCGACATAGATGTTTTTATATCTTTTTGCCATCAGGATCACCTCACTAGTCACAAGGTTTGTGATTGTGTAGATTTTTAATTAAAATTCTACCTTGTTGCCTTTGTCGCAGATCTGAGAAACACTCAGTAAGTTGTACTTCAAGCCATTCACATAGTATACATTCTCGATTGAGTGAGTGAGAAACTTTCCAATTCTTACTACTCCCAGAATGTATCCCTTTTTGCCATTGGCAAAGGACACACTCCCGGCTTGCAGGGCTTTGAGTGAAAGGAAATCATTAGTGCTTCCATTCATCTGCTTCGAGTAGCCACTATCCATATACCATCTTTGGCTGCTTCATTTCAAAACTCCCTGCACAAGAGAATCAAGGAATAAACTTTGGAGCCCAAACAAGTTTGGTATTTTGTAATGAGGAAAAGGGTGAATCAAAGTTCTTGAGGAACCAGGCATCACACGTTTTTTATATGAGGAACCAGGTTCTGTAGCAGTAGTTAATTTTTCAGCAAAAACTTTGGTTTTCTGTTGGGACTGAAATTTGGCTTTACATGTTTCTTTGCAATTCCCAGTGTTATCACACTGATTGCAGAGCCAATTATTAGGGACAGTAACAAACTTGCTGTGCGGGTTGTAAGGAGGTTTTTCCCTTTGGAACCCGATTCCCTGCCTGTTCCCCCATGGTTCTTATACATAGCAGTGATTGCATCAGAGGACCAAGTCCACTTAAGAGATTTTTTTAGGTCATTCTTTACTCTGCCTAGATCTTTATGTAGTTCTCTGTTTCTCTCAAGTTCAGCACACATACTAGATTTCACTAATTTTAGCTCATTTTCAAGCCTAAGGTGTGCCTCACTTGCAACTTCCTTTCCCTTTTGTGTGGTCTCATGCCTACTTTCCCTTCTTAGTTTCTCAATTGTTTTCCTTAGGTATACAGCTACTACTAGTAAGTCATCTCTCTCATGCTCAATGTTTGCACTGCTCTCAGTTAAGGTATCTTTTTCCTTTTTTTAAAACTCTCAATGTTCTCGTTTAGATCAACCACTAGATCATCTCTCTCATGTTCTATTTCTCCTAGTTCCACAGTTACCAAATTCTTATCGTCAATGAGATTGTGATATGCATCATTTAGAACATTACCCAAAGATATAAGCTTCTTTTGAGAATAGGACTTCCAATTTCTTTGAACATTCAGAAAGTTTACCTTATCATCATCGACTTCTTCCTCATCCTCATCTAATTTTGCCATTAGGACAAAAATGGAGTCATACTCAGCTGCTTCACTTTCGACTGCCATCATAGAGCTATCACCTTGCTCATCATCTTCTCCAGATTCCCTCGAAGAGTCTCCCCATGCAGCAAGAACCTGTTTCACAACATTATTAGCGTCATCTTTTCTTTTGGATCTTTTGTCAAGAACTAGGTTCCTCTTGGCTGCTTTATCTTTGTTGTGTTTGTATTGGTCTTGCTTGTGGAGAGGGCAATACTTGATGAAATTTCTTGGCTTCCTGCACTCATGACATAGGTCATAGCCTCTTAGCTTGCTGGAACTGCCCTTCTTTGGAATACCTCCATTTCAGCAAACCATCTTCTGAAATCTTTTTGTTAGATAGGCCATATCAGCATCCTCACCACTTGAGTCATTGTTGTATCTCTTGAGGACCAGGTTCTTCTCCCCTTTGGGCTCTCTTCTCTCATGATCCTTCTTATTTTTCATCTCATAAGTCTTCAGTTTTCCAATGAGTTCATCAATGGTCAACTTTTGCAGATCCTTTGCCTTCATGATAGCATTAACTTTGCTTTCCCGGGAACCAGGTAATACACTGAGTATTTTCCTGACAAGTTTGTTCCGTGGAATAATCTCTCCCAGAGAATTAAACCAATTGATGATAGAGGTGAAGCGAGTGTGCATGTCCTGAGTGGACTCATTATCCTTCATCCTGAAGAGTTCATACTCAGTGGTTCGCATATTAATCTTTGACTGCTTGTCTTGAGTTGTCCCTTCGTGTGCTGTTTGGAGAGCTTCCCAGATTTCTTTGGCAGATTGACAGGCAGAAATCCTATTGTATTTTTCTGGTCCAATTCCACATACGAGGATCTTTTTTGCTCCAAAATTCTTCTCTATAGACTTGCGGTCAGTATCATTGTATTCCTTTCTTGATATTGGAATTTTCACTGCTGGTTCACCAATGGTATTCATAGGAACAAAAGGACCATCATAGATAACATCTTAGAGCTCCGAATCTTCACCCGTGACGAAGTCGTGCATCCTTGTTTTCCACCATCTGTAATATTGTCCACTGAACCTTGGTGGTTTGTAGGTAGACTGACCTTCTTCAAAGTTTTGTGGAGCAGCCATGATGATCCTTTCTAGGTGTTAGCTTGATAGAAAGAACCCGCTCTGATGCCAATTGATAGAAACTAAGGGTCCGCCCACCTATATAGAGAACCAAGTTCTTTATAAGTTCCCACAGAACACACGCACACAGCAGTAAGTAAATCACACAATGGAGTTTTACGTGAAAAACTCCCAACTCACGGGATTAAAAACCACGACCTACACTCGTAGGATTTCAACTTCACTACTGAGCAAACTTTAGATTACAAACTATTGTAACCTAGGAATTAAACTCTTAATCCCTCACTAACTTCTTATAACCCTATTACAAGCCCTTTTGCAATAACTCTATTACAAAGCTTACAACTCGACTAACTCTAGCCAAGACACAAACACAAGGTTTATGGTTTTACAAACGGTTTCATACACAATGCTTCTTAACTAAGCTAAGTAGGAATTACAAGTAAATCACTTTATCAAAGCTGCAACATAACTAAGGACATGTAATGACTCAATACAGGAAACTGGTCCTTTGTTATGTTGTTCTTTATTCTTGAAGCCTTGAGAG